TCGTGTGCGGCATCACGACGCTCGATTTGGACCATACCCGCGTCTTGGGCGACACCATCGACAAGATCGCTCGAGAAGTTCGTTCAATATCATTACTATTATCGTCATGATGTATATATTTATATATCCTTGCATAGAAAGCGGGGATTATGAAGGCCAATGTACCCGTGTACACGATCGCCCAGCCAGACGTGGCCGCCCAAATGCTGGTCAAATGTGCTTTGGAGCATGGAGCACCGTTGGTCGTCGTGCCTCCGCTGTCGGAATTCAACATTTCCACGCACGACCTCGACCATTCATTGGGCATGCACGGTGAGTCGGTTGTTTTGGTGGGTTGTTATTCGTACGAAACAACTCACCAAAGGTCAATTCAGGGCAATACCAACGAGTGAACGCGGCGTTGGCGGTGGTGCTGGCGTCGGCGTGGCTCGCGGCAAGGCACGGCACGCCCCTGCCGCCGTTCCACCGCATGATTTCGCCCACGACGTTGCAAGGCTTGAAGCAGGCGTTCTGGCCCGGTCGGTCCCAAACGATCGAGGACCCGCTCTCCACGGCCGTGTTCCACGTCGACGGCGCACACACGCCGTTGAGCATCGAGTGCTGTGCGCACTGGTTCGACTCGTGCTGCCAGGTGACGGACCACCGGATTTTGATCTTCAACTGCCACCACGAACGCGACGTTGTGACGCTGTTCCTTCCGCTGCTCGCGCTTGGATTCCACCACGTTGTGTTTTGCCCGTCGCGATCTTGCCGACCTAGCATCGTCAAGGCATGAAACACACTGTTAGTTTGGTTTGTCAACGAGTGTTGGTGTAGATCCCGAGTGTCCAGGAAGCGCTCCTCAAGGCCAACCTCGACATCGCCGGCCTCCCGTCCGACGCGTTCAACACAGACACGTTCCCCCCACGGGAAGATCGCATGCACTGGCAGCACGTGTGTGAAAAGACGTGGACGATTCTGAATCAACTGCACGGCCAAACCACCCACACGAGTCTGTTTCCGTCCGTGGAAGCCACATTGCACTGGATCCGCACGACTGCCCCGCCGAATACAAAGGTATTGGTCACGGGCTCCCTGTACAACGTTGGGGACACGCTCAGTGCCCTCGAGTGGTCGGAGGAATAGACTTGCACTTTGTAATGAACTAGTAGTTGGAACTGGGGTGTACGACATCTCGCGAGCAAAGTGCATTGGTTACGGTAGTACTGCAGTACAGTACTAGAAGTACGTAGTAGTATTAAGCTTACTGTACTATTAATAGTACTACGTAGTACTACCGTTGTACTACAGTACTGATAGTACTACGGAGTACTACCGTAGTACTGTACAACAGGGCCATGTTG